GACCCAATATACTGTTACACAACATGCGTTCTCTTTCTCAACTATTTAACGTATTTAATAGCATTTTGACATAATTTTGTATGTATTTGACCGTTTTAGCGCAGTTATCCACTCATTTTGGTATTTGTGGCTAACAAGCTGTTTGAGACTGAGCGCGGCTTGTGCGCTCCACTAATATAGATTAGCGGTGGTGCGCGCGCGCGTTTGGTATACGTGCGAAACCTGCGGGAATGACTAAAATAATGCACAATACTTAAGCACTATTTAACCGGAGCGAATGAGACATGTGTGTGAGAGAGAAGGGGTCGTCGGAGAGAAGAGAGCGAGAATGCGCGGCTGACGTTGGGGTCGTCGGAGAGAAGAGAGCGAGAATGCGTGGCTGACATTATTGCCTGTGCCGCTGCCCGCTGGTAACAAAACGGATCGGCTCGGAATCGGAAAGAAGTGAGACTGATCATGAGGAAAATCGGCCAATTCCGATCCCTGGCCGATCGATCGGTGCATCTCTAATAACATTACCATCTCTGCTAAGCTTACCATATTATGTGAAAAAGAACTTTAAAAGTACTTTAATACAAAACCATTGTGACAACAATAAATAACATCTCTTAAAATGTATTAATAAACAAAAATGTTTTTAAACACAGTAAAAGTTTATAGCATATTTGGAGTTCATTTCTAAGACTTTCTATACTAATTAATATCTGTAATACGCATTTAACATGCAATACACTGTTTTTAATTTTTCTCAATTAATAATATTTGTTGCGAAATTCTATTTCTACAATCATTCAGGTCTGCAGGCATTCCAAATCTGAATCCTGAACAAACGCTTTTTCATGTGTCTGTCGGTTCTGACATGAATAATTTTTTTGATAAGAATCAAATCTGGTGTTAAGGGGGCTCGGAGGAGTTATAATGCCCTCGTGAACTTGGCCTGATTTTATCTCTCTCTTTCTCTCCTCCCTTTTTTATGGGGCGACTTAGTGACCAGGTCAGCTACTGTTCATACTGCCCACATAAACACTCCCCAGCGCCCATTTCAGACATGGGTTTAGACACAACACAAACACATATAACATGCTCACGGCTGGAAATACAAACAAACCCATCGGCTGAACCACAAGCCCATATTACTGTCACAGAACACTTAAATCATAATGCAAAATAAATAGCTATTTTAATGCAACTTGGCACATATCTCAGGCAAGCATCGTCCCTGTTCACTCCTCAATGCTATAAGTGGAGGATATAAGGACTCAGATGAGGGCTGATCCCCATTCTACACTGGGTATTAAGTAGCGTTTGTGCTCTCCAAAGCCTGTCCTACCTATTAACCCCTCTGATGTGCTTTCTCATGATAATCAGCCTGTTACCCACCGAGGAGCATGGAATTGTGGGATGTTTTCAGAGGAGAAACCCCCCCTTGATACACATGCTGGCTCTCTCTCTCTCTCAAACTCACACACTGAATCAAGCATGCAAGACGCCTTTTCAGAGAACATATGAAAATTAAACCGCTGAAACGTTTGTTTAAAACATCCCACAACATCTCTCAAAATCTCTCAAAGCAGACAAATAGGAAAATGTTTGAAATAACTCATGATGTGGTGTCGAAAAATGACAAGCTCAACAAAATACAACTACATCTGAGATGGAACAAGACCCAGAAATATTTGTAAGAAATATTTTAAGCTCATTTCTCAATTTTATTAACTTATAGCGCACAATTTAACACGCAAGAACACTTGACGTGAAAATAAATTAGCTTTAATCAGTCAAACCCTTGTAAAGATCCTCAGAAGCCAAACCAAAAGCCAATGCTGAAAAACTAAACAGTCTCACACATCACTATATGCGTTTCAACATGCAATGTCAATAACAAAAGCACTGTCTCGTGACGATCTCACTTCCATTTCCTTATTATGTAGCTCGAGGCAGTGGAAGTAGAGGGCCATGATGGAGCACAACCACCAAACAAGAGCTCGTCGCAACCTGTTCTTTATCAATCACTGTTAAAGAGCCATCTTTTCACATATATCCAATGAATCCAGCCAAAGTGAAATATTTCATTTTGATCATTTTCAATGCACACAGCAACAAAAAAATTACTTTAGCACAACACAAACAAGTGCATGAGATAAAAAGGCAAAGCCAATGAAAGCTTTCACTCTGTAATGCATGATGTTTAAAACACTGCATATATTTGAGAAAAAGATATCACACAGCTACAGGTGTTTGAATAGTGTTGCAATCATGCTGACTGGTGAATTAAAGATTGGTCGCAGTTATGCTTATATAAAAAAAGCAATGACAAATTAACTTTAATTACAATTTCTATACCTTAAACCACTTTAATGAACAATGCTAGAAACATGTTTTAAACAATTCATTTCAAGTGTTTTAACTGTATTTACGTATTAGTAACATTATGAGAAACCTGTTTTAAACAATTCATTTCAAGTGTTTTAACTGCATTTTACTTATTAGTAACATTATGAAAAAGGTTAATAATATTGAAAAAAAATACTTTGATAAACTAAGAAACTTGCACATTGTGCCTTTGATTTCACACCATATTTGAAGCACCAGTTAAACTCAAGTTTTCAGTTTTAGCGGGATGAATATTTTTAGGTATTTGAGAAAGAGATCTACAGGTGTTTAGTGCATGTGACTGGTGTTGGGATGATCTTTAATGGTGGATGATTAATAGATTTCATAAGCATAACTGCGACCAAAGAACAAAAAATGAACTTTTAAATGACTTTTATTTTTATATCTTAAAACATTTCAGTGAGCTCTCTTCTGTGTAAACAACATTTTTCGCTCTATCAATGAACTTGCCATTTGTCCTCAATTTGATCAGTTTTAACTATATTTTCTTCAATTCAAAATTGTTATAAAAGTGTAATAAACTCATCACTCAAGGTATGACTTTGAAACCGCTTTGATTTTACTCACAAAGTGAATGCACAAACTTGTTTTCAATTTTGTGGGTTAAATTTGTTTACAGTGTAAACAAAGTTCGCTGATTTCTCACTATGGAACATAAACAATGTCATCATTTCTCAGCAGAGTGATTCTTAGCTTCATCCCTCGAGCCAAGCAATATGTAAACGAGGTGCCCACACCTCAACCCAGCGCTTGACACTGTTATTTGTTGAGTACCTCTTGATAGGAATACACAAACACACAGTTTTTCACACAAGAAGGCATTATAGAAAAGTCACAATCCGCCCAGGAACATCCGATATGTGGCAAACAAATGACGAGCAACAGATAAGCCATGGAGGTAGAGATATGGTACGAGACAAACTAGCCTAAAATAGTTGTATATTTACAGCCCAACAGTGTTATTTTCTCAAATCAAGCAGTGAACTATTCATAGACAGGCGCGTTTGTATAAACCAATGTCTGAAACTCAACAGGAACGGCGCTTCAGCTCGTGTGTGTCCACAGCACAGGCATAAATATTCAGAAATTACTTAAAATTCAACTATTCGCTCCAAAGTCCCACTGAACCTCAGTAGACACAGCCGAGCCGATGATCCATCAAATGCAAATGTATCGGTTTGTAAACAAAATGCATCCGCAGTGTATTTATCGATGAAGTTTGCGAACGTGCAATTAAAAATTAAATACCCGGAGCCTCGACGATGTTTTACAAAATAAGCCAAAAATAAATGACGTCGGCTCGAGAGAAAATATCAACAGTGTTATTACTATGAAAGTCTCGTGTATCATCTGCCATATCGATCAGCGGCCGAGCGAGTTATATTAATTATCGGGATCTCATTTAAAAAACATGCACACATCAGAGCGTGCAGCTACATTATGAGGACTTGCAGAAAAAAACGAGCAGTTGCCACCAAAAAACTTTCCAGCGCCGCATTAGTCAATTTCACAAGGAACCGCCGTCACATTCCAGCACCGACTAAGCGCAAACCTACCGTGGGAGCCCCACGCCACCGTTCCCGGTCTTTCTCCTCTTGATCTGTTGTTTTATTATTTTTCCCAATTTTTTTCTCTAATTTTTCTTTTTTCGGGGCCTGAGTGTCTCGCGCTCCTCAGGCTGCAGCAGCAGAGTTATGGGGCGCGCGAGCATTGTGGGAGTGTGACGTCAGGCCACTTTCACAAACTTTTCACAGGGGCTGGTAAACTGTTGTGTGCGCGCGCGTGTGTTGTGTGTGTTTTTGGACTTGTAGTTTATTTATCGTTATGATTAATGTTGTATAACGGCGGGGGGGAGTGATGAGGCTCGTCGCTGAACGTGCATCGAAAGTAAAAGGATTGAGACAGCCGATAGCGTTTTTCAATTATTTAATGCAGGCATGTTTAGTGCAAGGTGACTGAGTCAATAAGCAGCTCTTTATTTCATACAGAACGCCGCGCTGTTTTGAAATGCAATACACATTTTATCATGTCTCTTTTGATTAATCTCTATTCAAGCTATATATACAGTCTTAAGCAATTAAACACTGGTTATGAATTGAATGTGTTAAAAGCGTAAAGGAAGTAGGCTATCAGTGGTTTGCATTTTCGAAATGTTAACTGATTTTTTTTATAATGTAAACATTTCAACTTTTAAACTTGTTTTGCTGTAAGTAAAACCAAAGTAGTGCCAAAATGCAGTGATAAGTTCGTTGCACTTTTAGAAAACATTTTTATTATTATTATTATTTATTAAGAAAACTTATAAAACAGAGTAGAATGACAGAAATTGTCTGTGGCATGTTAAATGAATGGAAACATGTATGAAAACATTTTACAGTATAACCTTTGTACAAAACCTAATTTCTTATTTTAGCAGGTTTATTGAAGTATTTTTTATTTATTGTTTATATTTTAGGTTTACAAATGTAAATAATAAATCTACATTGTAAGTAATACATCTAAAAACGAGCATTGGAGTTACTGTTTATTTACAGTGTTCTTTCAATCTATGTTTTTTTTTTTTTTTAAATCAATTAGAAAGACAAAAGGCCATACACAAGTAAACAAACTTTGGATGATCTTCAAAAATTCTGAGGTGTGATCTGTCAAAGCCCTGTTGAGGCTTTCTGTCCTGACATTAAAAGTTTTCATCTATTTATTTTAATCTATTAAATGTTATTGCTGAAGATGAGATGTTTGTATTACAATGTCCATCATATTTTCAAGTGAAGAACAATTTAATGAGAGAAAAGGAGGCTACAATAAATGCAGATATTCATCAAACAAAATTATTGAGAGGATGTTGATTCTATGGGGAAGGCATGGAGAATCATGCTGAATGATTAATTATTTCAGATAGAAATCAAGACACATCATGCATAAACATGGCCATTCACAAGCAAACGATCTTTGGATTGTCTTTAAATATTCTGATCAGGTAAGATTTAATTCTCAAACGATTATTTAACAAAAAATAGTTTCTCTTTAGATATTTAATCAAGTATTAACGTCTAATAAGATTTTATACTGCTTAAGAATTGAATAGCCTCAAGCGAATGTTTGATTTAATGAAAGATGAAGAGGGCAGGTCCCACGTGTAGCTTCCGATATACCCGTTTCACCTTGTGTTTTGGGGGAAGAATCACTTCCAGGGCACACCAGCCCGTTTCCTCACCACCCCAACCCCCTCCGACCAGCGGGCGTGTGTGTGTGTGTGTGTGTGTGTGTGTGTGTGTGTGTGTGTGTGTGTGTAAGAGGGAGAGAGTGAGTAGGGGGTGGGGGAGCAAGGATCTTCAATAAGCCTCTCGACATGCTCAATGCAAAGGGGCGAAACCTTTCCGAGTTTTTATGTTAAAAAAGAAAACCCTCCAGGAGCCCTTCTGACACCTGAGTGAAATTAAATGTATTCACGAAGGTTTCAGGAG